GAGTCGACGAAACGAAAGTTTCCGAACAAAAGAGGAAGAAAGTGATGCAGCAAAGCAAAAGCAAACATTCGTTTGTGAGGCACAAAGAGTAGCACACAAACGAGCAAGCTTCAAATGCCGGTGATTTGGAGAGAGATACACACAGATAAAAAAGCAAGAAACAAATGCACAGAAGAACCGAGCATCATGCTTTTTGTGTGTTTATTTGGACCAGCAGCAGCAGTGGCGGTCGTCACCGCTGCAATTGTGTGGTTTTGTATGCGATTATCGAATTTCGTTTTGTGCTGTTATCTCTTGCTGCTCGCTGTGTGTATTTTATTTGTCCACGTCACACACATTTTCGTTGTTGTTGTTGCTGTTTTGGTTCCACCGCCATCTCTGAAACTGTTTTAAATAATGTTCCGTGATGTTTGCCCACTGCGGTTTTCAGTTGATAAAACAATTGTGAATGCTTGCACAATGCACACATGTCCAATAGTATTTTCATTTCCATGCGTCAGCTCGACTTTGGGTTTTTTTTTTTGTTTTCGTTTAGCACGAATTTCTCTGGTTCAGTTGCATCGATTACGCAAAATGGATATGACTTTTTAATTGATTGACTAGCCCAGCAGCACACACTCGAGTCTACTATAATTACATCATGGCAGAAACATTTGTATCCGGATCAGAAATGAGTTTCACTCGCTTTCTACAAGCGGAAAACGATGGGATAGAAATGCAAATACAAAGAGAAAAAGCCAGCACCGCACACACTCACACACACGGATCGGATCGGATTGCCATTTTTCTAAAACCTGAAAAATTGATCATTTTGCGAATTGGGAAATAAAATTGTTTTTGCATGATTCATACCGTATGCCTTCGGTTGTTATTTCATTTTTTGGACGGCATAAATTGCGGATCCGACTATTTGTGATGCCGGATATCGCATCGATGCGTATGTACTCGACAAGGGAGTAAAAAATCACACGTTATTGGGAAATTTTAATATTTCAGCTCACGGCTCATATTTGCAATAAATTAAATGCGCACGTTGCCATGAATCATCAGCATGACATCGCTGAGCTGTGATATGGTAATAGCAGCACAAAAATTAATAAATTCATATCACACTCTAGCATTTTTAATTTAATGTGAAAATTGCATTGGATTATTAAATAATTATGAAATCGATATGTTCGGCAAAATGCATCGATTTGCGCTCTACTTCACCAAGAATGAGTGTTGTTTTTTTTCTGTTATTGCAGCTCATGCTGTTATCGGAGCTGGTTCTGTACACAGTGTGTGCAATGCACTCTCTCGTTCGGATGGATGAGTGTCATTTGGTGACGCACCGTTTATGTTAATTGATGTGCTCGATCTCGTTGTAGTCGGCGAAAATTATAACAAATACCATCGATTATATTGCGATTACCACGAGTCATCCGGTTTTTACATCTTCTTTAACCGTATCCTCTATCATACATTCAATTTATGCATGAATTTTATGTGCATAGTTCAAATGGTTCCAGGCCATTCGCTCGCACAATGATTCAATTCGTTTGAATTGCGGAGAAAGAAGAGAAAAAAAATTGAAGTCGATTTGTCGGAAATTATTGCGCGTTAGTAACGCAATCTATTTAAATTGAACTACACTCACAACTTCATCATGTGTACGTACGCGGCGAATAACTTGGCCATAAACAATGTCTGAATTACTATCACTTTTTTCCGCTTGTGCGCTCATCGATGGTTCGAAGAATGAATGTTTTACCGCATAATTTAAAACCACTTTTTTTTGCTACTCATTCTGTATGGAATAACCGAAAATAATTAATAGCCGAAATTGATATGGTTCGGTTATTCAGTTTGAGCAATTCATTTTTCCCCGTGGCTCAGATTTGACAACCCAAAATCAATCTTTTGTTAAACTACACGCACCGAAAGTGAAATGTGAAATTATTCCGAAAGGCCATGCTCATGAGCTGTCGGATGAATTCTTTGCATCTATTTATTAGATCATCTTCGGTGAAGAGCGAAAAAAAACGTGGTTTTCGAAGACAGGGCACATAAGCACCTGAAATCAACAATTACCCGTGTATTTCGTAAGAACCAGTTTCGTTTTCAACACACACACGAATCGTTTATGGCTTTTTTTATAGCATTTCGTTTTCATTCATGGTACCATCGTTTATGTTGTGAGGCCTATGCGCGCCGTTGTTGTTGGTTTTTGTGTCTTCGCTCAAAATTAATATAATGGATAAATGGTAATTGTGATTTAGTTTTCCCACACAGCTTAGACTCGTTTGCCGCTTTACTCACTACCGCGCTTCATGGCTGACTCTCGTGCTGTGCGCGATCTGCACATATCACGTATGTCCACAATGAAGAACATAAAACTTCCAAAGAAAATGAATGACGTGAAACATCACACCGAACGTACGCAGCCAGCCAGCATCGTTCAGCGCAAAAATTGAGCATACCTTTTTAAATTCTTCTCAATCTCATCCAATTAGTGTCAAATTAGAAGAAGAAAAAAGCGGTTAGTGTTTCGTCATTTTATTGTTTTTTGAACTGGGAGTTTTTAAGAGGAGACGAGAGGCAACAGCCACATATTCAGAGCAACTTTGCCTAGCGACTTAATGAAACGAATGAACGGCAAAAAAACATCGTCTAAATTCAAACAATGAACGTAAACGATTTTATGAACATTTTATGTGCGAAATTTTAATCGTACTTCAACTTAATAGGTTCTCTGGGGCTGTGTTTGTTGTGTATGTTGTGGAGCACATTTCGAATATACATTTGACGATATCAAATGTGTGAGCAAAGTATCTCAAGTGTTTTGCAAGCAATTCACTCATTTAGATCCTTATTTGCATACGGCATTATCAGCATGATGTCTGTTTACGTCAGCTCCGTTTTTTTCTCGAGGCAATTTGTTGTTGGCGGCGATTAAATAACAGCATCACTTGTAATGATTTCTCGGAATTTCTATTGGCTTATTTCATTCTCGAGTGTTTGACCAACTTTTCTGCTTTGTTACGGAAACATGATGTGGCAAATGGAATGCGCATTTTTTCCATCGTTAATTTTCATGTAGATCATTTATTAAATGGGAAACGAAATATTAATGAATATTGGCCAAAAGAATATCAATTATGGTAATTAATTTTTGAACCAACTTTGATTTGACTTGCCCAATTAACGTTCCGTCCGCATCAATGTGAAACAATTCGAAGCAATCGCGTTTGAATTGTCAAAATTGTTGTCACGAAAGCATCCAATTTCGAATTATTATTATAGAATGAGATTTTGTAACCTATTTTTGGTCATTTTTAATTGTGACGCTTTGTCCGAATAGAAATTTTTTGGAAATCGAAATAGAAACTGCAGCTGTGCTTCTTTAGATTCAATGAATTTTATTAACTCGAGTGAATACAACAGTAAATCAACGAACGCATTCGATAAAAAAAAATACACTGATAATTCGAAAGAATTCATTGGATTCTTTTTTCTTGAAGCAATCAAATGGCTGAACTCGAATGATTTGAATATATTAACAAGAAAATAACAATAAATTTATTATGGGTGTGGAAATTGAATAGAGAGTAAGGTAGAATGTGGAAATTCACAATGCACATGTGAGAAACCGATGCAACAACAAGTTGTCGAGCAATAAATCGGTTTCACGTTTCCACGTACATACATATATGTTGGAAGAGCCGAAGTTGTTGGTGTGCCAGTGATACCGTTTGATGCGATGATCAATTAACGAGTTCAAATGTAGGTAGAGAAAAAGAAGAATTATAGAGAATGAGAAGAGAAGAAGAAGAAAAATACGACGGCGAAAAAGAGCAAATCACTTGATGCTATCGTGTATCAGTGGATCGATAACAAAAAGCCAGAAACAGACGAAGAGGTAGCAATGGCAACAGCAAACAAGTCTCATCAATGTGATGAGCGCATTCCATATGGAGACATCGATCGACTCAGAGAGACAAAAAAAGAAAGACTTGAAAAGAAACAGAGAGTAAAATGCACAAGCAGAACTTTCGCCTTCAATCGATGTCATATCTCCGGACAACCAAATGAAATATAATAATTTATGACTATTTAAAGATGGTAACGACAACAAGAAATCAAAAGAAGAAAAAAGGTGGAATGCGCGCGTTGTGAAACGAAGAGATGAGAAGAGAGAAGAAGAAGAAAAGAAAATTTTGTTATTCAAAAAGCCGAGTGAGCGAAGAGAATAAGATAACTTTGGGCGATTAGCGCAGCGTTGACTGAATAAAAGTGATATTCAATGTGCATTTATAAAAGTCGAACAAAAGGGGAAGAAGCGCATACGCGTCGAGAAATAAGATGAAAACAAATCGTCGTTCACGATGACATTTTGCTTGAATGGTATTTTTGATCTTACATTTCTCGCTTCGATGGATGGTTTTGCTTTCTTTTTGAACCAAAAGACGACGACGAACAAATATAAAATACGAAGCAGCAAAATCCATTCTCCAATTTCGTATGTATTTTTCTCTCTCGTTCGGTGTATCGAAATGCACTCAGAAGTTGGACTTGAACAATGTGTTCAAGTGATTCGATTTCATTCGTAACGAATTACAAGTTTCAG